GGGTTGCAAGTTCAATCCCTGTCCAGGTTGGGAATTATGCAGGAGGCAACCAGTCAGTTGATGTCTCTCTCTCACACATCAATGTTTCTCCCTCTCCCTCTCTCCTCTACTCCCTCTCTCCCTTCTCTTTCTAACACTCACTGGAAAAAATATCCTCCGGTGAAGATTAACAACAAAAATACACACAAAGGAGTATGTGCCCAGGGTGCTGAAGAACAATCCTAATGGAGGAACTTCAGAAATGAGCTAAACAATGAGATGGGCTTACAGACTTGTGGAAGTGATAATGTAGAAAACAAAACTCTTTGGCTAGCCTGGTTTGCAGATGCCTAAAATCTCACTTTACACATTAAAGGACCCTGGCTTTAATTTTCCCATTAAAGGGAAAAGGGGAAGAAAGGAGAGTTGTGTGTTGGCAAATAAGTATATGATCTCTAAGATACCTTACCTTATGTTCTGGTTTTTCTACCAAAGTACATAAATATGGTTGAACAAACACATGAATGATTATGTGTAAGTAGTACTATATTAACACATAAAGATTATGTGTAAGTTATTACTATAGTAAAAAACACTAGTTTGGTTTGTTACCAAAGCGGCTTCAAAAGAAATAGTATAAGGTTAGCAGCTGCAGCTAAGGAAGTACACCAGTATATAGAAGATTTGCCTCAAACTGTGAGATCCTATAGCAGTGTTGAACATGAATTGCTTCTGCTCAGTAAACTCATTTTGGAGAAATGGTTCACACATTATCAGAAAGACATTTAATGTGTTTAATGGCTCAAGAGTAAACAGCCAGAAATTTTGATATTGACTCTTGGTTTTAAAGTAATAAACATTAAACATATAGATGTATTAAAAAGAAAATAGTGATTTAGTCATATCCACTTTTCAATATGTGACTTTTTGTAGTATTGCACAGCTGCAGCATCTAGAATTGTATTTTCTTACTTTCCAATATCTATACCTGCTCTTTCATTCTTTGAATTAAAGTAAAACCAGTGACTGTTTTTATTTGGTCAACAGTTCTTTGATGCTGTATCTTATGCAAAAAATCTTTTCGTATTGGCCTATCAGTATAAACTATCATTTTAATCCTAAAAGTTATTATGATAAAAATATTAACTATCATTATACAACTGATAATAAAATAGGTACCGATTTTAAGGGACTACTATATTCTAAGAACAAATCTGAGCGTTTTCTTTATTTTTACAAGAATGTAAGTATTTTAAAGATGGGTTATTCCCACCTTACATCTCAGGCACCTTTAAACTTATGGGAGCCACACTGAAATGTAATATTCAGGAAGCCTCACCCAGTTTTGCAGCCTCCATTTTTTATCAAATGTGCCTTTTTTTACAGTTTCTAGTACAGAGTAACTAAGTAGTAAATGTTTGTGGAATTTTATCACCCTCCCCCTAAATTGCTATGTTTCTTTTAGTATATATTTTATGTTGAAGTACAACTTGGTAAAAATTAGTAACTTATGTAATTATGACTTTGATGAAAAGAAACTAAGCTATATCCTGTTTTGAATTAAAATGAGATTACTTTTTCATATCTGATTTATTAGTAATCCTGATTTCCATTAGCAAGTTAGAAAATATCTAGTATCTGTGCTTCAAAGACTGAAAAATTTTACTAATGATTAATATATGCTAGCCATCAGATGTTCTATTTATTTTTCTCTCCAAACTTTTGATTAAAAGGTGAGATTTTATCTTAGATTTCTAATAGCAAGAACTGGTGAATATGAGCTATGGATTAGATTTTGTTTCTTCACCAAGGTCAAAGTTTGAGACTTCCCACTCCCTAATCCAAATGAGTTGCGTTATTATACCTGATTTGTGATTAACTGTTTTCTTTATTTTATTTCCTTAACCCTTTTTCTTCTTCTACCTCCCTTTTCCTCTCCCTCATTTTACCCCCTTGGTGAGGGTATTTGTTCTTTGTCTTTACATATTTGTCACTTAAGCTTTTTATTTGAGGGGTTGATTAATCAACTTGTTTTTCCCCAGATAGGTCTGTGATAAATAGGTTGTTTGATTTATTAAAATATTTTATAATGAAAAAAACAAAGCCATTTTTCCTTCCCACAGAACAGTTGCCTTTGCTCCCCCCTTTGAGTTTGCTATTGCAGGAGTCCAGTTACTGTAGACACTATTTATCCCTTCATGGCACCTCACCATGATGAACACCATATGCAGTTAGTTAGGTTGACAGCTTTGGTGTTGCCACTAAATGCACGGGCATACTTACCTCTTCTCAAGGAAGAAAATACCACAACAAAAGAACCACATTATTTTCTCTTAAAACAACTTGTGTTTTCCGAGTGTGTGTTTGTTCTGGTGTTTTGAGCTGGATTTTTGCTGCTGGTAGTGTGCTGTGAATGCTGACTTTGTGGTGTGAATGATCTTTACAACAAGCAGAACCTCCTAGCCATGAGAAAGATTTGATATCTGTGTTGTGAAGTGCTTGTAAATTGTAGTGGAAAGAATTGACAAGTAAGAATTTTATAATTTGTGGCTGTCCATTGCCCCTATGGGCTGTCAATGATTACAATTTGAAAATCTCAAAGTATACATGATTTATATCTTAGGAAGATTAATTGCATTAATTAAAATTTTAACAAAGTCTCCCTTTGATTAGAACAAATTGTTAGTTAAGACCACTAGAAAGCATCAACTGGCTGTATGATCCCTGTATTTCTCAACTGCTTTCAAAAAATTAGAATGATTTGCCAATACCTGGTAGAAAACTGATCACTTTGTTGTTGTTTTATGGTTAATTGAACAATTGTGTCTTTGAAGTCTGCACCTCTCTGGAATGTTTTGTGTAGCTTTGAAATTTGTGTTACATATTATTTTAAACCCAATAAAATAACTATATTTTCATAATTATTTTTTCTTTTAGCTCATTTTCACAAAAAGAGAATTTGGCAACTACACAGTTTTCAGGCAAAATTGTCTTAAAATTGAATTCATAAAACTACTAAGCCTTCCTCCCTTCCTTCTTTCCTTTTTGAGGAGTATCCCAATTTAGCTAGTATTTGGTATCATTTGTGAGCTAGTTCTGTGATGGCATTTACTGTGTGATATCCATTTAATCCATCAGTGTGAAAGCAACAAGACCTTATTTTCTCCCTTTTGTAGGAAATGACACTCTGTGTTTTTGTTTTTGACATCTTTAATTTCAGAGGTTACCAATGATCAGATCAGGATCAAGATTGACTTCAAATATTTTAGTAAGAAATGGAAAGAAAAATGAGATCTTAACTTTCTGGTCTCCAAAACTACACATCATTGAGAAACAAGCTATATGGGTGTGAAATTTGGGATAGAGACTTAAGCTGCTTGAGCACCTTTTATCCCATAATAGTTGTAGAATATGAAGATCGGAATTTCCATAGGGGCACTGATATTTCATGGCCAATGTTTTTATTGTTGTTTTTTAAAATATATTTTTATTGATTTCAGAGAGGAAGGGAGAGGGAGAGAGAGAAACATCAATGATGAGAGAGAATCATTGATTGGTTGCCTTCTACACGCCCCCTATTGGGGATCAAGCCTGCAACCCCCAGCATGTGCCCTGACCGAGAATCGAACTATGGCCTCCTGGTTCATAGGTTGATGCTCAACCACTGAACCACACTGGTCAGGTAACAATGGGTTTTTTAAGGCCGTGTCATTTTAAATTGGCGTGAGGTCTGGTTATTGCTTCTCTAAATATGTATATGCGCCTGCCTTCAAATGAACTTATTTGCAGTAGTGCTAACTTGCTTTAACATTCTTGCCGACAATTCTAATGGACCTTAACACGGTCTACTTTATATAGTCACATCACAGGTTTTGGGAAGGATTCAGTCCAAATTTGGGGGGTGAATTTCTATACACAAGAAATATATGAGCTTTAAAAATTAAGAGGTTTGATTCTATTTTGAATTTGGATATCAAATGAATCTAAGCACATGACATTTTAATGCTGTTTATCTTTTCAAATAGATTTACCTTCTAATGCATGTGACAATAGGACTTTGCTCATCAGCTGGAACATACATTTCAGAGGAGTTGTTACCTAAAATATTATCATAAGGCATAAGAAAACACACGATTTAAGTTGCCTTTCATGAACATAATTAAGAATTAATAAGCTAGTACTGATGGCTAGTCCCCAGAATTTCCAGTTTTGCCTTTTGTGACCTGTGTTATTAAAAGTCCATTATTTTTACAGACTTTATTAAATTGGATCTTATTAAAGCATTCTATATTTGCATTTGGTCTTTCATAATTCATTATTATTATGACATTTACTTTTTACCATCAGATCTGAAAACATATCATAAGCTACCCTTTTCTCTTGAAAGAAATGCTAATTTCAAACAGTCCTCTAATAGAAGAGAAAAGCTTTATCAGTTTTTTCATTTATTCCAGATCGTGTTAAGAATACTAATGCTAGACTTCGGTATGCTAATATCTGAGCTTTTTTTGGTCAAAAGCTTAGAATTATTATTTTTATCCCATACTAAGTATGAAACTAAAAGACCTGCTACTATTGGAGAAAACACGATTCTAAAGTACAATTCTTGTTTCTAAAAACTTGTGGAAATGTTGCTAAATGCTCTTTATATTAGGATAATGGTAGTCAATTTAACTTTGTACCTTGAAATATTTGTCCTATTTAAGAAATTGTTTTCTGTTAAAATTCATTTTGTTTGTTTTCTCATAGTTTAGGGTAGTACAGCTTACAGTGTTTAAGACTAAGAATCCTATGCTGTCAGCCTCATGTGGCATTTAGGGTGTGTTGCCTGCTTTTCTAAATGATCATCATTTCTATATCATTTATTAGGTAGTGGAAAATTCAATATAGCAAGACTTTACATACTGATATCAAACAAGCTGTCTAATTTTAACAACAAATTCAGCAAGTTTTATGTTGGGATACTAGTAAACTTATTAAACTCTGAAATGAAGCTTACTTTGCATTTTATCTCATTTTAGATTTCTGACCATGTGCAATAGACACTTTGGCAGTGTTATTGCACAAACTATTCGGACTCAAAAAACAGACCAGTTTCCACTTTTTCTGATTATTATGGGAAAGCGATCATCTAATGAAGTATTAAATGTGATACAAGGTAAAGTACATGTCACAAGGGGAGTACAGTGTCTTGTGTATATGATAACCTACAATATTTACTGTCAAAGCTGACAGCCATCTTTTATATTGGTGAATATTTTTGCATTTGAAAATACAGAACTTCTTGAGGAAGAAAAACTTCAAAAAGTATAGGTACTATGAAAAATGAAATACTCTGTATGAAAATCCAACAGAAATGCCTTAATAAAGTTACACAGCCCTTGAGACATAGGATAATCATGTTAAATCTTCAGTATTGCTTAATTCCCTAAACTAGCAATTAAGTCATAACCAGTTGTCAAATATGACATTTCATATATGTATATATACCTAGAGATTTGCTGAATGTATGATTAGTTGAAAGAAATGCTTATCTTTAGTTATCTAGAAAGTTCAATGACTTGATACTACGAATGGAATTGTTTACAAGGTGAATCCGTGTCTAAGATGCAACTCCGATGCATGAAGTTATTAGGATACCTATGAATTTAAACTTCCAAAAAAAATTAATCTTTAAATTCTTTACTAAAAAAATAAGTTAATGATTTTTTTTATTGATTAGCATAAAATATTACCTTATTCGTGGCAAAGCTTAAATTGAAAATAGTATCTCTTTCCTATGCCACAGGTAAAAAGATGTTTCAGGTGCACACACTAAATAAAACCTTCCGTATTTTATGTTTTCTCTATAACTAGAACATTCCGTTTCATAAATAATGTTAAAGAACTGCTCATCTGCCCTGGCCAGTTTGCTCAGTAGTTAGAGCATTGGCCCATGGACAGAAGTGTTGTGGGTTCAATTCTTGGTCAGGGCACATGCCCAGGTTTAGGGCTCGATCCCCAGTAGGGGGCTCTTAGGAGGCAGCCGATCAATGTTTCTCTCTCTCCCTTTCCCTTTCTCTAAAATCAATAAAAACATACTTTAAAAAATACTCACTTTTTTGTCTACAAAGCTATGTGAGGTCAGATTGCTTCATAAATTTCAACTAAGACAATATATTATAATTGATTTACTATAGAAATAGATATGAGAATCCAATTTACTCTGTTAAGCCACACATTAAAGAGATTTTTATTAAATGTTAGACAATCCTATTCTTTTCACTAAACTTTTTCTATTGGAACATAGAGTCATTTTTCATAAAAAATGTGACATTTATATTAACACGTAATGACTTTATTATTGTCACTTCTAAAAGATTTTGATAAGTATGTTTTAAATATTTCAGTTTTAATTTCTATCACAGTAAATGTTGATAACTATAACCCACATACAATTCTTTAGGGATCTCAAGAATATAAAGGGATTGTGAAGCCAAAAATTTTGAAAACCACTACAGTAAGCTATAAAGAAGAAATTTGCCCTGAACTTCATTAACTGGTATCTTTTCTCCATCTTGGATCATTAAGGGCTTAAGTATAAAGTACCCATAAGACCAGTTTGGTAGTAAGTCCTTACAGTTAGGGTTGAAGCATCCTATATAATAAAAGCCTAATATGCTAAGTGTCCGGTCGTCCAGTCAGCCATTCAACCAATCAAAGCAGCCTTAGCATATCATATGCTAATAATATACTAAGGTCGCCCAACTGCTCGCTATGATGTGCACTGACCACCAGGGGGCAGATGCTCCGACCGGAAGGTTAGCTTGCTGCTGGGGTCTAGCCAATCGGGACTGAGCTAGACAAGCCGGACATGCCCTGGAGCCCACCCGCAGTCCCTCCCCGCTGGCCAACCTCCCATGTCCCTCCCCAGCCCCAATCGTGCACCGGTGGGATCCCTCGGCCTGGCCTGCGCCCTCTTGCAATCCGGGACCCCTCAGGGGATGTCAGAGAGCCGGTTTTGGCCCTATCCGGCAGGCCAGGCTGAGGGACCCCACTGGTGCACGAATTCGTGCAATGGGCCTCTAGTAGTTTATAAGCATTGGCTTAAGCCTGAAAATTAATGGTCAGTATTTAGTCAGTTTTACCACTATGAATGGTATTTTCCCATTGATGATTCCAGTACCCTCCATAAAGTATTCATGCCTTGAACTCTGAGTCACATACACTACAGTTTACAAATAAGAAATGAAAACCCAAGGATTTGCACAGGAACAAAATCTGCATTAAACTTGATCCTAAACTTTTTGCCATTTATCATGTCTGTTAATAATAACTACCAGTGATTATGCGTGTATTATGTACTAGGCACTTTACATTATCTCTAATCCTTCTACGAACCCTACAGAGATAGTGTTACCTTTATTTTGCAGATAAGAATATTGATCCTTAAAGAGCTACAGTCAATCACTCATTCACTTATTTATTTGTTTATTAAGTGAATATTTGTTAAACTCTCATCATGTGCTAGATAATTTCTAGATACTAGATCATAGTGGTGAAACTAGGGTTATAACTATGACTACAAAACCAGTTTTAACTAGATAAGAGCATATTAGTTTGTACATTTTTTAGATTATAGTTATTATGATTAATTCTAGAATGACTTCCCATTTTATAATAATTAAGTTTGACAATCTCCATGTGTTGCTAGGTAACACAACAGTGGATGAGTTAATGATGAGACTCATGGCAGCAATGGAGATCTTCACAGCCCAACAACAGGAAGATATAAAGGATGAGGTAAGGTGAAAGTTTAAGTAGACATTTACTAGAATTTTGATGAGTGATTTGTCAAATGGTGATGCTTGCCTATGCCATGATTGATAAGTAAGAATGATAAAGATTCATTTCCAGATTAAGCAAGACTTTTATGTCATTGAGTTTACCTTGCAGTCCACTCTTTTCATGAACCCATGACCCAACAATTTTTTTAACTTTATGGACATTTATGCTTTGCTAGATTTGGTGTGATGGCAGGAGGTGAATTTGTAGGAAATGAATTCCAAAGCGTACTAGTATTTACAGAAGAAACTACAGTCCAGGAAATCTTGTCTACTATATGGGTTTTTTATTCACTTTTAAGGTCCTTTTTACTCTTTTTAAATATGAGATTGACTAGCAATAAACATAGTTTACATTTGAACATATTTTTTAAGCACTGTGAGGATTAGCAAAAGATCTCCAAAATTCTGAATTTCTCAGTCTCTTGAATACATTCATGTGGTATAGAGAACATGAGCATAGAACCTCAAATAAAATACTAATAACAGCAATGTTGATAATGACAAAGGTTGTCAACACTTAATGAATATTTATCATGTGCTTCTCAAAACTTATGATCCTCAAAACAACCCCATGCGGTTGTATATGAATCATACAGTCTGGCAGGAAACAGGTGGCACTTTCAAACTGGGTGAATTGAAAAGAGTTTAATAAGGGAACTGTATAAAGATATGGACAGGGTTAATGGAAGTCAGCAATGGATAATACAGAGTCTAGGGCTTAAGGGAGCCATTACCATTCCTATGGTTAAAGTCCTAGGAATGGTGTATGGAGAGGACTGCTTCTGATAGAGGGATATAACCAGCTCTTGGTGACCTGGTAGGGAATAAACTGCTAGTACCTCCTATTCGTCTAACCCAACTAGAACTTCCATGGGCAAAAAGCTAGGTAGAGCATGGATACTGAGGGGCAGTGGAAGATAATCTAGCAGAGACAGGTACTATTTTCTCCATTTTTCAGATGAGAAAACTAAGGATCAAAAAGTTAATTTACCCAAGGTCATACAGCTGGTTGAAACTATAATAATCTTAAGTGATCTTTAGTGCTTTATCAGTCAAGAAATTTCTAGATTTGGAAAATAGCTTTAAGACCAAATAAGAAACAAATATTAACATTTGTTTATTTGAGATGCTAAGTTCACAGCTATTAATAAAATCATTTTTAATTTTGTTTCTTTTTAATTAAATTATGAAAATATTTCTGTAGAACAGATAAGGGAGAGTTTGATTTCTGAGCAATGATGAAAAGTTTCTAGGTATAGTGAATGTTTTCAATAGAATACCCTTTATCTATTGCAAACGGGACATGTAGACAATTTTAATATAATCTTGTATATTGTATTTTATTTTATTTTATTTACTTGTGTGTCTTTCATAAACCTGAGTTTGTTAAAAGAGCAAGGTTGTATCATATTCACATTTGTAACTCTATATTCCCTGACAGTATACCTAGGAGTAGGCACTCAAATGTTTGTCGCCCTTGTTGGTTTTACTTAGTGGTTAGAATATCAGCCTGCAGACCGAAGGATCTTGGATTTGATTCCCGGTCAAGTGCTTGTACCTCAGTTGCAAGTTCAATCCCCAGCCCCAGTCAGGGGGCACATGCGGTAGGAAACTAGTCAATGTGTCTCCCTCACATCGATATTTTTCTCTCTCTCCCCCTTCCTTCCTCCCTTTCACTCTCTAAAAATCAATGGAAAAAATATCCTCAGGTGAGGATTAAAAATAAATAAATAAATAAATAAATGGATAAATAAATAAATAAAATGCCAAATGATTGGATAAATGAATAATTGGAAGAATTTACATGAAATAATATTTAAAAAATAATACGTCAGTGATTCTGCTAACAGAATCATTCATGAATTTAATTTTAACTGGAAGCTTAAAATATCTTATTTGAAATGTTTAAAAAGTAAAGGCAAGCCCGGCCAGTGTGGGTCAGTGGTTTGACGTCGACCCAGGAACCTGGAGATCAGTGTTGGATTCCTGGTCAGGGTACATGCTTGGGTTGCGGGCTTGATTCCCCAGAATGGGGCCTGCAGGAGGCAGGTGATTGATGTTTCTCTCTCATTGATGTTTCTCTCTAACCCTTTCCCTTCCTCTCTCTCTAAAAATCAAGAAAAACATACTAAGAAGAAAGTGAAGGTAAATTCACAATTACAAGGAACAGTGTTTTTTGTCACATAGACTCAGCAGATAGGAAATTATTATGATCTATGCATAGTCCTTCCAAAAGAAGTCTTTAAACTTAGAAGAGCTTTTCTTAGGAACACTCTACTTACCACCCGAATAATAATTTTCATGAAGGCACTCTAAAAACAGAGAAGTCCTTACCTCTTGCAGTTAAATTTCAATAAAAATTTCAATTATATGGAGCCTTGGATTTTTCCTGTAACCCTCATATTTAATTTTGTGCTAAGTATTAAAGGAATTAAAGTCAATTTCTTTACCAATGAATTATGAGGAACACAAAATAAGATAAAAGAATGAACTGGGAATATGCATGCAGATATTGTGCTTTCCTATTATACAGCATAATCTGTAAATCTGGTACTAATGAGACATAAGATTTAAATGTCTGAAGAATGTATTTAGTAAATTATTGTCAATCAATGCCTCTATTCTAGGATAAACATAATCTTGAAAGGCAACACACCTATTATTACAAATTCCTAACTAAGTACAGTAGTTCATTATTTTGAAATGTCATTGTCAATTTATAGAGTAACAGATAAACATCTTTCCACCATATACCTGATTACCTTTCCCTCAAAGTAAATGAAACACTGACTATTAAGAAAAATTACAAACAACAGTTTTACAACAATAAAAGTAACCTAGTGAGCATTAAAACTGTAAACTAGTTATAACATTGTCAACTAGCTAGAACAAGGCTAAAAGCAAAAATAGACTGTGGCTATTGTCATACAGTGATAATTGCTTTCCTCCTTTTTGTTGCCAATAGCCCCTCATTGGAGCAAAGCACCTCTCTGTCCCCAGGATCTAGTCCAGTGCTATATATTTAATAAATGCTCAGTAAGCACTTACAAAACCAAACTGATAATCATTAATGAAAATGTCTATGAAAAAGCTTTAGGCAGTTCTCTCAAAAAGAGGCTCATTTAATGTATTCTTCTTCCTCCTCCTCTTCTTCCTTCTCCTCCTCCTCTTCTTTCTCTTCTTCCTCCTCTTCCTTCTCCTCCTCTTCTTCTTCTTCCTCTTCTTACTCTTCCTCCTACTCCTGCTCCCCCCTTCCTCCTCCTTGGTTGTAGGTCCTTGCCTGCAAACTTTCTGTTGATAAATCAGCTGACAGTTGTATGTGCACTCCCTTGTAGGTAACTAACTGCTTTTCTCTTGCTGCTTTTAAGATTCTCTCTTTGTCTTCAACCTGTGGCATTTTAATTAAGATGTGTCTTGGTGTGGGCCTCTTTGGGTTCATCTTGTTTGGAACTCTCTGTGCTTCCTGGACTTACAAGTCAATTTCTTTTACCAGGTAGGGGAAGTTTTCTGTCATTATTTCTTCAAATACGTTTTCAATATCTTGCTCTCTCTCTTCTCCTTCTGGCACCTCCATAATGCGAATGTTGGTACTCTTGAAGTTGTTCCAGAGGCTCATTATACTATCTTCATATTTTTGGATTCTTTTTTCTTTTGGCTCTTCTGATTGAATGCTTTTTGCTTCTTCATATTCCAAATTGTTGGTTTGACTTTTGGAATCCTCTACTGTTGAAACCCTATAAATTATTCTTTATTTCAGTTAGTGTATGTTTATTTTCTGACTGGACTTTTTTTACGTTGTTGTTTTTTTGTTTTGTTTTTTAAATATATTTTATTGATTGTCTACAGAGAGGAAGGGAGAGGGATAGAGAGTTAGAAACATCGATAAGAGAGAAACATCGATCAGCTGCCTCCTGCACACCCCCTACTGGGGATGCGCCTGCAACCAAGGTACATGCCCTTGACTGGAATCGAACCTGGGACCCTTCAGTCCGCAGGCCAACGCTCTATCCATTGAGCCAAACCGGTTAGGGCTTTTTTTACGTTTTTGACATTCTCACTAAGATCCATGAAAGTCTCACTAAGTTCCTTGAAGCTCTCATTAAAACCCTTGAGTAATCTTATAACCATTGTTTTAAATTCTGTACCCAGTAGCTTGCTTCCTTTCATTTCTTTTATTTGTAACATGTTTCTTTGTCTCCACATTTTGGCTGCTTCCCTGTGTTTGCTTCTATGCATTAGCTAGAACTATTATGTTTCCTCGAATTGGTAGAGTGGCCTTGTGTATTAGGTGTCCTATAAGGCCCAGTGGCTCAGCTTCCCCAGTCACCTGAGCTGGGCACTCTAGATTCTCCCCTGTGTGGGCTGTGTACACACTCTTGTTGTAATTGAGCCTTTATTGCTGTTGGCATCACTGGAAAGAATTGACTTTCAGGCCAATTGGCTGTGAGGACCAACTGTGTCTACAATGGAAGAGTTGCTATGCGGGAGATACCCTTATGGAGTAGCACTTGCTTCATTGGGGCTTTGGTGCTCACTGAGCCTGCCCCTTGAGTGTGTCACTTCTCGATGCATAATCCAATAAGGTCTGAAGCTGTCCACTGGATGCACTGGCTCTGGGGCCTCCCAGGAAGTGCAAAGTCAGCCATTGCCTGGAGCCACCCAGCAGGAGCTACAGAGAGAACTGCAGATGGCTGCTACTTGTATTGCACTAGGAAGTGCCCAGACGAGGTTCACAGCAAGGCAGGTTGGTGCTAATGCCAGGTCTTGGGCCTTTTATTGGTAGGTTTGGGGCACACTGGCTCCAGCTGCTGCTTGTTCAAGAAATTTTAGCAAAGTTTGAAGCCTGAGCCAGGACAGGCTATTCATATGGAAAAGCTGCTGCAAACAGCTTGGGTGGGGCTACAGATTGGATGAGGTGGGGTTTCAGGGAATCACCAGGGTGGAGCAAACAATGTG